GGGAAAGAGAAATGTTTTAATAGCAGCTGCTAGAACTAAGGCTTTCTTCTCTAGACTCACAGAGGCTGTTCATTCCTACTCTTACCATGGTTTAGTCCTATGCACAGTGAGAATGTACCATTGTTGAAAGTGCCAGTCCTAATCCCTCTTGCTCAGCAGCTGTATTTTTAGATTTCAAATGACTGGGTTTTCTTTAATCAGAGTCACCTGTAGCTGAAGTCTGCTCTTTTCCTTTTTTCTTTTTTTTTAAACGAGCTCTTTTTAGCAACGTGCGCATCCTTAACTCCTAAAGTTTAAAAACAAGAGGAGGCTGCCCTGGGATGTCACAGCAACACAGGTTTCCCAAGCAGCTCAATTCTAGGGTGTCAGAGTCCAGACAGCCATAGAAAGTCCTAAGCACTACCATTGCCCTAGGTCTGTCTCCTACTTCCCCTCTTCTCCCCAAAAGAAAAGCGAAAGATAATTTAGCTGTTACCTCAGGCTGACTTATGAGGCACTGTGTAAACTAACTTACCAAAACCAACAGACAAGCAGATTAATTGGGATCACAACAGTAGTAGGAGTGTGGGGCATAACTTTTAATGTGGTATGCGTTACTTACTTAGTTACAGCATACCCACTTGCTCTGTTTCCACCACTGTTAGGAAGGCCTAGAACTTTAATCAGTGTTTAAGGATGAAACGAATTATTACCTCAATTTTTACAAACTATAAACAGCATTTATTTACTCGCAAAAGACCTACAGGTTTTGGCTGTTCCTCTGATGTATCGCCCGGGGGAAGATGTGGCAGTGGTAACTTTTAGCTCTGCCAAGGCCCCAAGGCTAAATGCCACTCCAGGTTATGCCACTGCAGGACTCCAGTGTCAGGATGTCTGGGGTCTGGCTGAGGTTTCAAAGGCCCCATATGGTGCCCACTGTGAGAGTAAGTTCTAGATGTAGAAAAACCTCTACTTGCAATTCTCTCAGTGCAGTAGAGCTGCTTCAGTCCAGTACTGGTATAACTGAGCAGAGCCTCTTACTGTATTTAAACACTGACAGATTATGGTTGTTAAACTGTTAACTTGTGATCTAGACAACTACCAATTTTAATCACCTTGTAACAATCTTCTGACATTTGTCCATTCCTTAGAGCAAGTTAGGAAAGATAAAGCCTGCACCTCTGGTTAGTTTCCAGGTAATCTCTCATCATACAAGCACACTGGAATTCCTTTCTTCTTCTTCTTCAAAACTTAAGACAGTTTATAGGGAAACAAACCAACCAAACAAATGCAAACCCACCGTGGTGAGTAGACAAAGGAGTGCATCTTTCAAGTGTGTCATCCAGGCCAAAGCCCCAGAGAAGAACAACAGGAGCACAAATTCAGATATGCATGGCAATTGCTCGTCCTACCCTTCCTCTGCTCTCGCTTGAAGGACCATGATACGCACTTAAGAGTTTCCAGAAGTTGGATTTGTTCCCTTTGGATGGAAGCAGTCTCTGAAGATACTACTTTCGTTTCTGCTTGTTGTCATTGTTGCCATAGGTGGAACCCCTGTTAATTTCTGTAACGCCTATCATCCATCTGACACCGACAGAAGCTGCAAAAGAAGTAACAATAAAATTAGAAGCTGCTTGCCAAGGCTGAAGAGCTGTACAGTTACAGCATTTTGAATGAGATGTTAACAGTGTTCACAGCCTCAGAGCAGCACAGCATTAAAGGTAACTACCCCTACTGCCCATAGTTGACCTTTGATGACAGGTACAGCCCCACGCATCGCTGTCAAGTAGTTTGCCTATGGTATTTCATTAAGGAAGGTCCTAGGTCCCTACACACATCCTCTGCCCCAGCAGGGAAGAGGCTGCATGGACCAACACAGGTGTGAGAGGCACACACATGGTATGCCCAGCCCTGTTAAACCCTGGACAAGGCTGGCTGTGAAATGGGGATGCTTTGGGGCTGCTGGGGTTACCTGGCTTCCCCAGTCGAGTGACAGAATGTACTAACGTGTCCGCATGCGAGGTGTGATGGGGAAGGGAACTCTGCTTGCTTTCCACAGCCCCCATGCCAGGAAGAGTACGAGCAAGTGCAAGGACACTTCAGACCTTGATGAACAGAACAATGTAAGTTGTGGCATTTTTTAACTACAGCTCATGAAACAGTCCGTTGCAAGAGGCCAGGCTAATTTAAAATACTTCCATAGTTGATTTAGTAATGGCTGAACAGACAGGGGTGCAGTGGGGAAGCTGGGCTGCCCGTGGGGCTGTCCTCAGGTCTTCTGGATGCCAGACACCAGGAAAGCAGGACCCCCTCAGAGGCAGAAAGCTGTGTGGTGAACAGCTCCTAAGGAACCACTCTCAGACTTCATTGTTAGTCCGTGAATTGAAATGCACGCGGCTGGGACAAGTGAACGGTTTCACTCCCACAAATAGACAAGAAAAAAATGTCCCTGGCATTTAACTGGCCATGAGCTAGGGAAGACAAAAGGAAGAGCCAACATGACCTGCAGTCTGGGATCATAACATAACAGTAAGCATGAAATCATTAAGATTTTAACCACAAGGGATAGAAACAGCATCTGGAGATGGACACAGAGCATAAACAAAGAGCAGCTGTTACAGCAACCACACAGCACAGTGGGGATTTCAACCCCTTCCAAGAATGCCACTGCCTGGACACCAAAAAATACATGGTTCAGCAATTCAGATTTATTGGATTATTATTTCTCCTTTGCTTGCATGGCAGAAGCAGCTGCTGCCCCTCTGTCCTCATTTCGCCCCGCAGCCCTCAGGACCCTGGGAGAGGCGGGGTGCAAGCCTGTGGAAGCAAAGTGGGGATAGGGCTGGGGTGCCTCAGTGGTTTCTCACTGCACTGCCGGCCTCATCTCCACAGCTCTCCTGGAGCCTTAGAGCCTTAGGTAAGGAATACCATTGTCTTTAAGGACACCGCTCCACAGCAAACCACAGAAGGTAACTGAGCTCCTGCCATCTCTCTGCCCACCAGTACCCACCAGCCAAAAGATGCAGGAGGTTGGAGCTGCTCTGCCTGCCAGAGCGCTGGGGCTGAGCTAACACAAATCAACAGAGCCACTAATGCTCGAAGATAACCACCACATCCACACATAGACCCACATCCCTCAGCGAAACCATAGCTCAGAGCAGAGGATTTCCACCTTTTCTCTCAATCTGCAGGATTTCTTCTCATTTGTTACCTGGGATCTGTACCACACAGCAAGTGCTATCAACAGCACAGCTGGTAGGGGCATAAGCATTTCCTATATATAGTCTGGTGTACACTTAAGTTTTTTAGGTTATACACTGAAATGAAGATTCGTACAACTAAAGCTTATATGAATGGTAGAAATTGCCACTGAAGGCCTATTTTGCCTACTGTGATGGAGAAGAAACAAGAAAGTAACAAAAAAAAATAGCAGTTTTAAGCACCAGGTTGAAAGGCCAACAGGCAGAATCAACGCAGGCAAAATCCTACACGTTGTTTGTATCCAGTTGTACAACTTACTGAAAACCACTGGCTCATGCTCTCCTCACCTTCCATTCATCTCAGCCTGCAGGCATTAGCAAACAGCCTTAGAATCATAGAATCAACTAGGTTGGAAAAGAGCTTTAAGATCATGAGGTCCAACCATTACCTCAGGACTGCCAAGACCACCACTAAACCATGTCACCGAGGGCTTTGTCTACATGATTTTTGAACACTTTCAGGGACGGTGAATCCACCACTGCCCTGGGCAGCCTGTTCCAGTAACTGATTACCCTCTCTGTGAAGGAATTTTTCCTAATGCCCAATCTAAACCTCCTCCGGTGCAGCTTGAGCCTGTTACCTCTTGTCCAGCCTTGCTACCCTATCACACCATGCTCCAGTCCTTCAGTCCACACTCTGGACTTGGACACTGTCAAGTCACCAAGGGCTCACAGTTTGCATAGTGATGATCTGTGGAAACAGGTTTTCTAATAGTGCCGTGCACACACTCTATAGCAGATGTACAACTCCTGCAGAATCAAAGCTGGCTCATTACTACTTACACTTGGTTCAAATGAAATACTTCTCTCGCCTATAACTGATACTTAATGGCTGGCCCCATGCCATAAACCCAGATGCCATTATGCTTTTAGCACTAGACATGTAAGAGCTACTTCTCCATTTAAAAGCCAAGAGAAGCCCTCTCATCTTTTGCACACAGAGCTAACACTTCCCTTTTAACTGCTCAGCTCTATAATAAAATAATTCTGGAGCATGAAGGTTGTCCTCTTCCACACGTTACCAAAACATGAAAGGCAACTTAACACTGAGTTCTTTGAAGCCAAATGAAATTGGGGAAGCAGGAGGAGGGGAAAAGACAGAAGCTGCTGACAAATACAAGTACTGACATTTGACAGACTTGCTCACTACTTCATCACCAAAATATCATCAGCCCTTAGTTTTAAATAGCAGTTGTGAGTTAAGTACATAAATCTCTTGCCATGCTTCCTATGAAACCAAAGCCAGTTTTCAAAAGAGACTTTTGTCCCTCAAACTACTTCAGTATTTGTCCTCTGGAGCAGGGACCGCCTTGTGCTGGTTCAAGTAGTATCATAAAGGGATCCTGGTTCCAGACCAGTAGTTCGATATTTGCACAATGATGTGATTATTAGGAGTATAAATAGCCAAACTGCTGCACAGCAAAGCAAAAGGGGATGGCTCAGCATACTCAGTATAAAGAGGAGATATCGTTCATTTAGGGCTGATGATTGATAGTGTTTGAGCTGAACAAGCAGAGCTATATATACAGTGGTTATTCATTCCTTGGATCCAAGAGTTAGGGTCTGAGGGATCAGTGCTTTCACTTCAGCTTGACCACCATGGGTCATTCCTTTTGTGGCTCTTTCCACCCCAACAGCCAGTTACTTACAAGTAGCAGTATTTTACTGGAGCCCAGTATTTTACAAGTCCATTGTTGTACTGGAGAGCACAGTTGGCAGACACTGTCCAAAAGAAAAATGTCACTCTTGAAACAAAGCAGAGGGTAACAGATAAAAGGACTTCCTAGTTCCTCCCCTCTTCCCTGTCACAGGAGGTGTGTGCATATCTTGTGCTATCTGCACCTATGCTAACAAAGGTTATCAGGTACTGAAATCTGCCCCTAGAAATAGCAATCTACTTACAATAGGCTATTAGGGACTGCAATAAGCTTCCCAATTCTGGAGTATCGGGTGAGCTGTCAAACTGCCATATAAAAAAGCAACATCCCAAACACTACCTGTGTAGCAGAGGAACTGCAGGAAAAAGTCTGCTAAGAACAATGTGAAACGGCATTTTCATCATCTGACCCCAGTGCTAAATAAATCCCTCTGGTTCACAGAAGAGACTTCCTTACGCACTGTTCAGGCACCAGGTACCAATTACTGCTCACCCTGCAAAAGACAGTGAGAACGTGCTCCCTGCTTTGCTACAAACTGGCTCTGGCAGGCAGACAGCTCCAGCTGGCACCAAGAGTCACGGCCTCCAAGGCACATCCGTGTTCATGTACCGCTACTGCCCAGCTATTGCACAATTCACTTCTGAGACCTTGCCTAAAGCTGGACATGAACTGAAAAATAACATACCAGTTGCTCCTCTGTCAGAAGGTGGCTGCATCTGGTCCAAGTCATTCATGACAGAGATACCCCTTGGGACATAAAACATATTCTGGGGAGAATGGCCTTGCTACAGAGACTCAGCTACAGGCTACAAATGTCAATGTGGCAGCTTGGGTTGAAGTTTTTAGATGTTTCCACAGAAAGAGAGCAGTGATTCCCAATTACATCATGGTTTAAGACTGGCTGGTAACTCAGAACTACACATTAGGATTGCTTTTAAAGGGATACAGTAAAACAGAAACAGACTGTAACATGCAAAGGGAACTGTTGCTCTTTTGGCAAGTTATGACACATCCACTTTTAAGTGACCAGGACAAACCAGCTCTGCTTTCTGTTTGTTTTCACTGAAGCCTGAGAGCTTCCTTCCACTCCCACAGATTCTCTTCCCTCCACAGCTTCACGGTGGCTGCTATCTGCTAGGAAGTGACAACAGCATCTTTCTTTTTAACCTGCTTGTAAGCAAGAGGTGGCTGGCTGAGTGTAATCAGGCGACAGCCTCTACTACAGGCAGTGCAGTGTCCTCCCCTGTGCTGCAAATCCTGGCCAATTACAAGCACTTTGAGTTTGATCACACCAGGTATTCAGAGTGAGAACAGAGCTGTTGCTAAGCACAGAGGTCTTCCAAAGGTTGCGGAGGACTGTGACCTGCACCATCCCACAAATGTGGAAGGTGTGTATGGGGCAGCAATGTACACCACACAGTAGGCCATTAATCTCACCGTTCTTAACGCGTTCTTCAGATGTGCTTTTGCTGTCTGGGAGCTCATATGTTCATTCTGGCAGCAGACTGCTTGCTGCTGCAGTTTTCTGTTAGCTCCAGCGATACAGATGATAACCCGAGAACTAGTCCTTTGGATTATCGCTGCATTCAAAAGAGGATTCACAGCAGCCTGCTTATTAATCTTTCCTTGTGTCTAGAAGCAGGAAAGCTAAGTGGGGAGTAAGACAGCAAGGAAAGAATACAGGTTCCTTCACTCCAGAGAAGACGTGACCTAGTTGCAAGGGTCCTTAATTGCAAGATGGTACTGGACTTAGGTGGGGGAGGGTTGTGGTGTCACTTAAATTAATATGGACTATATCCAGAGACATCACGGATGCCACAATGCCAAGCATTAAAGCATCCAGCCCTGAGGTTTAAATCCAGAAACCCTGAATCATGCAGCAAGGCTCCCTGTGGAGGGCACACGGGGCATAACGCACTTTGGAACAGCACCCAAACCACCAGCCTGCTGAGTGGAGAAACTGACTTAAGAGGAAAATGCTGAAGGAAGGATGAGAAATTAAAAATAAAATCGCCGTGGCTAAGCTTCAGTGCCCCACTAGGCCATCGTTCCACAGCCAAGTACCAAGCATAGACTATGCCAGCATTTCTTCCAAAGGCAGAACAAATGCCCTCTTGAGTGCTATTGCCAGGGACGTAGCATTTGCAATGGTGTCATACCTCATCCTGCCCACTGCTGTGTACCCATTTTGACCTAGAGCACAGGGGAGACCGACTGACCTGCCTCTGCAACTGAAGGGGATCCGAACTTAACACCGCCCGTTCCTGAGGGGAACACCACAACCATGGTGCTTATTCTTCACTTGTACTCTATTCACTGGTCAGAGAAGGGGGAGTGGGAGGAACACAAGTGGGTGAAAAAGTGCTTCTCTGCTCCAAGAAATTCTTACACATTTGAGCAACCTGGTCTAGTGGAAGGTGTCCCTGCCCATGGCAGGGGCTTGGAACTGGATGAGCTTTAAGGTCCCTTCCAACCCAAACCATTCTGTGAGTCTATGATTTGACATAAAACATTCCCAGGGTAAAAACCACCACCGATTTCTCCAGGTGAGAAGAGCAGCACACAATTCCCCCCCTTTCCCTCTACTTTGCCCATATTAATGTACCAACTATTGTGTTGGACCTTACCCTTGCTCTTGTTTTCCATCCTCTGGTCCAAAGCATCATGAAGCAAATTGTCTATGCATGTGCACACACACACAGATTCTTCCTTCTCCAATTACCTTTACAAGCAGCTTCCTCAGTAGCCTACACCGAGTTTGATTTGGTGGGCATTTTCTGAAAAAGAGTATTGTGTGCCTACCATACCAAGCTCTTCACAGATGGACAAAAGGACAGTAGGTAATTCACCTTGAGCAGACTAGCATGGGACCTGCTCAAGATTAAGACTTCTGAGAATGCAAAGAGGTAATATGTATTAGGAACAATCTCCTAGATACAGAGCAAAGATGCACTTCTGAGACAAGAAAATGTGCAATGTTTTCCTGTTTCCTTTGTGTTGCTATTTTGGAGATGTCTTTTTAAGCCAACTCTAATATCTCTGCATCCAAGTTCACTTGGAGCCAGACGGACTGTGAAGTTCTGTTTCTTTTTCAAAGGATGTTTGTAATACACACAGCTGTTAAGATGATGAAGCCATAAATACATGTGATGGTCAGTGCAGCCTTGGAAAATACTTGCTTTATAAATGTATGGGTTATTCTGGAAGTTACTCTTCAAACAGCACCCGATACACCAAAAAGCACAGAAACCCTGATGTGACAAAATTTGCCAAACTGACCTGGTTCCTGCTTCCATAAAGGACACCAAATAAGATCTCCTTCCCCTTCTGTTGGTCAGCTCCTTGTTTTGTTTTCCTTCCACCTCTTAAATAACATACTAGTTTAAACACAAACCAAGGCAATCCAGAACTACCACAGGAACTGTAGGAATCACCTGTGATAATCTGTGTCCTGATGCTACATAAGTCAGAGTAGATGGCCATAACAGGCTCTCCTTATATCACAAGTTCATGGATTTCCAGTGGACAACACATCAGACTGATTATCTGAAGGAATTCTCAACAGAATAAATCATCCTTGAGCACCTCTTCTAGGCATTCAAAGCGCAACCCAGCAACACACAACACAAGAAAAGAAAGCCTTTTGTAGGCAACCCGCTGGAAAGTTACTAGTTTGATTTCTACAGAAGGACAAAATCTTGTATGCAGCTCTTACAAAAAATAATACAACTATACAAAAACAAACAAACAAACAAAAAGAATCTACTGAACCTATTCCAGGCTAAAGTGGAATAAAGCATCAGCTGGTCTGCTGAATCCACACATTTATATTTAGTAAGCCTCAGTAAATTATCTAACAGTTACTCTGTAAGTAATCTTTTTCTTTCAGAAAACTTACCCATTACAATGACAAATGCAAAACTAGCCAGTGTCAGTGATGATCCACTGTTGATCATGTTGATGAGCAGCTTGAATAAAGGATATAGCAGCAATAAGGCCCAGAAAAGCCAGTTCAAAAGTGTCCATGGTCGTCGGGGTGGTACTATAGGGACTGCTGGGTAGGTTCCTGTTCGGTAGTATTCTTCCTGGAATGCATCCTAGTAGAACAAAGGAGGGCAACAATTAAATCCCCATTTGCCAACAATACTAGCCATTCCTGACTTTGATGTTCCTCTGTTTGCAGGCTTGTAACCATGGGGGCAGATCAAAGACCAAGTCGCGGCTTGGAAAGCTTGTACTTTGAAGTCAAAGAACACACAGTGAAAAAAAGAAAAAAGAGCTTGCACAGATGTGCACATCTGTTTCTTCTCCTACACACAGAAGACTGAAAAGTGGCATGCCTGGAGAGTATAACAAGCCCAGTAAAACATGAAGGGGAGGGGATGTATGCTCCTACAGCAGTGCAGACATCACCCTTGAACCTCCTGCAAGAGCCACAGCCACTGCCGAACACTGTAAGCCAGAGAGGCTTTTGAGCTATATGTTTAGCAGCCAACCCTCTGTTCCATAATGTTTTCTCCAACCACTGCTCTAGAACAGCATCCACACCCCGTCAGAAAAAGCGAGCAGACACCATCTTGTACCATACGCCAAAGAACACCACCCTTTCCTGTCTGCTTTGTTCCATAGATGCAGTCTTGTTCATCTTGTTCCCATGAAGCTTACGGAAGAAGAAAGTGTGAGTGCTAAACCTCTCTACAGACACCTGAGCATGCAAACAGGTTAGAATCTCTCACTGGTTTTGACCAAAGGACTCTCCCTTTTGATATAATATAAGGAAGACAGCAGGGCATGATTTGTTTGTTTTTTTTATTGTGGTGTGTGTTTTTTAAAGCACAGAACACTTAGAATTGAGTACCTTCCTCTAGAGCCTGTATGGATGAATGGCATTGCCTTTAGTGATGTGATCAACTCAAGATATCAAAGTAGGTGGGGAAAAAATCACTTCCTATTGGTTCAAAAGCAAAGATTATGAATCTGTGATATCAAATAAAACTGGTTAATTAATGAATTCAGCATTAGACTGACATGAAAAGGAACCTCAATTTAGTCAGAATGAAGTATTAAATTTCTTCAAAGAAAGGAATACTTCATGACGGTTTCCAAAAATTCTGGCTGAGCCAAGTTTCTCCTAATCAACCATAAGATTATTTCTACTGTGCTATGATTTTACATTTACTTACACTCCAGCTGACAATTCTTTACTTATTTAATGGCAACTTGAGCAATTACAGGCTGCCACCATTTTAACTATTTCAAAGGGAACATTCAGCTTTTAAGAGATTACACAGTAATTAAAGCATTGCACTGTCTTTTTTGAGATTAGAAAGATTATGAGTGTTTTGCACATGCGAGCTAGATTGTAGTGGGATCACTATGGCAAATTAATTAGCTGTCTTCAACAAATTACTGTGTATGAAGTTTTCTTCACAGTGCCTTGAGGATTTTGGCATATGACTGGTTTAACACAGAGCTACTAATCATCAGTAAACTGAATTCTACTATATACAATTAGGTTTCTAAATACCAGTATTATCCAGGAAAGTTAACTTCAAACTATTATTGGTTATCACCATTAGGGGGCCTGTTACTACAGAGAGCAAGACAGCCTCGCTTCAAACAAGCAGCAGTTTTCTCTTTGTTGGTTCTGCACAGCATTAGAAGCAGCAAAACCATTGATCACATCTCATCAAGAGGTTTGAAAAGGGGGCAAAATAATGTCAATGCTATCACCTCCACTGCACGTTTTACACCGTGGGGAACAACTCTTCAATTCAGTTATGATTCCTTACCCCTAAAAAACATTCCCATTCCTTGCAGAAGAGATCTGTGAGTTCATAGGTCTGCTGAGCTTTTGCAAGAAGGCCTGTGGTTCCCATCAACAGCTCAAGCCAGCATTTAAACCCATGATGGACCTCAAAATTTCCCTCGGTCACCTTGCCCACAGCAAGTTCCTTTAATTTCCCTGCACACAGAGCTTGTTTACAGTTTGTAATAAATCCCAACCACCCAAGTATCATATTTGGACATAGAAACATGCTTATGCCCCCACCAAATCTGTGCTACTTCAGACAGTGGGGTGTGTAAGGCAGTGGAGGGAAACCAGGGAACATCCATCACCTTTTGAGAAGCTATCTGGATCTGTCTGACTGCTGAGGTATGCCACTGCTCTTTCATGAGGAAGCCCACAAAAAATGGAGTATCCAAAACCACACCCTTTGTTCCCAAACACAGGCATTCTGTGCACTTCCCCTCTTCAGCTGTGCTTTGCTAGTTCCCTGGGGCATTTCAGCATATATTTTCATGCCCTGCTTTCCATGCTTCTCTTACAAGTGAAAAGAGTTTAGAAGCTTGATTTCTTTTTAATGGAAATTAAGGTTCTCAAGCAGAACTTCTATTTCAGGTGCTGAGGCTGAAAGGAGGTGAAAAAAGAAAAGAAACACGCAAGGGCTTGCTGGCTTGTGGCTATTACACAGTACCTCTTCAGACCAGGCACCAAGATGCTCAGCCTGGTCCTTGTTAAAGTCAAAGGGAGTCTTTCTAACAATGGCAGTTCAAAAAAAATAAAAACCCAAGAAAAGGCAATGTGCAACCAAAACTGCACCTCTGTCATAATCTGGCATTAACTGATACAGTGCTGGCCATCTACGGCAGGAAAAAAATCACAAAATTCACCCACGGTGAGGAAGAAGTATGTGGATGTGTTTGGTTTAGAACAGCACAGTGCCGTTGTTACCCAGCAAAGCCCTTGTTCACTGCATTTGCAGCAATGGTTAAAGCAGAAATTGAAGAAGGTAAGTAGCAAGGACATAAACACATCTTTCTCACAGAGCAGCATCTCAGACTGAGGTACATGCAACTGAGATCAGCAATGAGATAAAACCAACAGAACAAGCTTTTCTCAGTGATGTCCCTTCATGTCCACTAAACTGCTGATTTCACTACTCATTCAAACAGCGTTGTGGCCTTGTCATCACAAGTACACAGCACTCCAGCCTTGACCTCCCTACGTGTGGCACGACCCAGCTACTAAATTATGCTACTTAGAGCATAATTCAGCACACACAGTATGTAAGTCTTGAGAAGGTACTGGAAAATTATGAAAATCACTGAGAATAAGCAATGGCACATGCAACCATAATGCAAGATAAAAGAGGGGCTCAGTTATTTTTCAGTAGCATGCATACGTGTCTTTGAGACAGAAAGTGGAGTGTTACAACCAAAATACACAAAGCAGGGGATGAGTGTGTATCTTGTAATGCATTACTGCCCTTTGAAGACAGATTTGTTACAGTTTATCACAGGTATGTACTGACTCTGAAGACATTAACCTGAAACAGAATTCATTTTTGGAGACAACACATAGGTGGCAATGCAGCTTGCCATCCAACCTAAGGCAAATTATCCTTTTAAAGATGCATGGCAGAGAGGTGAAACAGAATTGCATTTTTACCCTGCAGATGGGCTTTCCTAATCTCCGACTCTTGATGAAGTTCTCCCTCTATATTCTCCCAGTCTGATTTTACAGAGACATGGGCTTGCATAAACTGGGAATGACTGCAATGAAATAACAGTTCCACTAACGTAAAAGAGCTGAAGGAAGAGGAACATACCACCTTCAGAAAAAAACCCAAAACCATCAAACAAGAAAACCCCAACCATTACAAAAATGCCACAACTAAAAAGGTTTTAATGGAGAGGAAAACTGAACACACATTCCTGCCTCCTGTACTAAATAGGAAACTACAGATTTAACCAACCAGCAAACACCATTGTTATGAAGAAAGCAGGATAGTTGTACCCTCTGCACTAGAAATAACTGAGTGTTCACAAAAAAGGGAATAACGGAAAAAACTTGGAAATTATTACTGCAAACTATGTAATAAGGGACTCAGGAAAACAATCACCACATTCTCATTTGGTTATGTTCTTGTCTTGCAAAGGTCTAAACAGTTCTCTGGAAAAATGAAGCAGTGTTACAGATCAAGTCACAGTATCAGAAAGTGGACTTCTGCAACATCCAGCTAACATGGTGTTCTGGGTAGAGTACAGCAAATGGCACAGCAGAACCTTGCTGCCCCAGTGAGAGGAAACCAGAGCGTAGCTATGTTCTATCACTTCTAAATCCAAAGCACTGCTGTATTCCTGTCTGAGTACATAAGTTACATCAATTTATTGAAACAAACCGAGCTGCCAGGCCCTCATGCCTTGCATACCTATGACTCCCACTGACTGAAATGGGAGTGCTGCATCTTATTCAAAGAGTGTATCCCCCAACCATTATCTCCTATGTTCATGAAAACAAAAGCCATGAGAAACAGATTCTGACAGTTTGAAGGATGTATATGGAAGTATTTGGAAAATAAAAATAAAAATCAGTGGCATCTACAAACACACAGCCATTATTATTCTGCCCCCACCTTATGTAATTAGGAATCTTAGATGCATGCCTTCTATGCACACCATGTGAAAGCAATTTCTCAGCCTGTCCTATTACTGTTGAAGCTTCGCTTTGGTTAAAAAGACAGGGAAAAACAAGGGACAAAAATTCTCATACACTAAAGCAAAATATACCTCATTTAGCCCACAAATTACTTCTTGATTTAGGAGGTGCCTTTCACTGGAAGAGAGGCCTTCTACTAACCAGAAGGTAGTTGTGGTTTTCGGTATCCTAACGCAACTTTCTAAAAGTTTTAAGAGTTTTAAAACTATTCTGTCACGGATTGCTTAACTTTTCTTTCCATTGCTCTTTAAGTACGAAATAAAAGCAATCACGACTGACAGCATAAGACCAGTTTGCCTAGAGAAACAGAGCACTTCTGAAAAACAAACCAACCAGCCCCGACCCCCTAAAGCAGGACCACCACACATGTACACCAGCTGTTATGAACTACTGAGCACTAGTGGCTCACGAGTGCTGTCTAAACAAAAAACCAACCTTTTCTTGATACAGCTTGTGAAGCCAGTTAGAACATTCCT